TTTAACTTATATGCAGAGTACAACATGCAAAACACCAGGCTGGATTAATCAAAAGCCAGAATTAAGGTTGCTGGGGCAAATATCAACAATCTCAAACATGCAGATAATACTGCTCTGATGGCAGAAAGAGAAGAATTAAGAAGCCTCTTGCTGAGGGTGAAAGAGGAAGTATAAAAGCTGGCTTGAAGCTTAACGTAAAAAAAAAAACAAAAACAAACAAACAAACAAACAAACAAAAAACCCCCCAAAGATGTTGGCAACTGGTCCCATCACTTCCTGGTAAACAGAGAGAGAAGAAATGGAAGCAGAGTCAGATTTTATATTCTTGGGCTCAAGGATCATTGCAGATGGTGACTGCAGCTCTGAAATTAAAAGATGCTTACTCCTTGGAAGGAAAACTATGGCAAATCCGGACATCATAGTAAAAAGCAGAGAAATCACTTTACTGACAAAGATCTGTATAGTCAAAACTATGGTTTTTCCAGTAGTAATCTATAGCTGTGAGAATTGAACTATAAGGAAAGCTGAGTGCTACAGAATTTACACTTTTGAATTGTGGTCCTGGAAAAGATTTTTGAGAATCGTTGGACGGCAAGGAGATGAAATCAATGAATAATTAAAGAAATCAATTCAGGTTATTCACTTGGAAGGTCAAATACTGGAGTTGAAGCTTAAATATTTTGGCCACACAAGGAAAGACAGACAAGACTCATTGGAGAAGACCTTGATGTTGGGAAAGATTGAAGGCAAAAAGAAAAGGGGGTGACAGAGGATGAGATGGACAGATAGTGTCATGGAAGTAATAAATATGAACTTGGTTAGACTTTGGGAGATAGTGGATAAAATGGCCTGGAGTACTATGGTCTGTGGGGTCAAGAAGGGTTGGACACAGCTGACCGACTGAACAGCAACAACCCAGGGTCATTGAGAGGATCAAATAAGATAATAATTGTAAAGCACTTAGTAATTTACTCTGTTTGAAAACAAAATCCCTCTAAAAACTCTTTCCTATTGTTCTTAAAAGAAGCAGTCCATGAAAGGAAGACATTTCACTTTTCATTACTGTCCAAATAAATCACCATATTCCTCTTCTTTTTATTTGACAATTTCTAGTTATACAGTTGGTTTGTTACAAAAACGGAGGAGGATGTGCAAAAAGGAAGATGAAAAAATGTTGAGAACAAAATTTTTATCTTGGGAGAAACTTCAAATGTGTCTTTTTAATTACCCCCAAAGAATACCTGGGAGAGAAAAAGAGCAATGTAAAACTATTGTTTTTCTTCTGTTCTTAAAACGGGTTTCTACACTCATTGTTTTGACTTGCTTTTCTCTCACTCACTCTTAAATTTAAATCCTTTGGAATCAGATTTTTTACTTCACTCAGTTATTGAAACTGCTGTCTCCAAAGTTACCATGATCTCCTCACGGGCAGATCTGACATTCTTTTCTCCTTCCTCACCTTTCCTTATCTTTCTCCTGTATCTGACACTGTTGGACACTCTCTTCTCTTGAATATTCTCTCTTCTTTGGTTTTCCATGATACTAGTCTCTTTCCTGGTTCTCCTTATCTGAGCACTCCTTTTCAGTCTGCTGGCTCATCATACATTTTATTCTTTCATTCCCTCTAATATGAGTGTTCCCCCAAACCCTTTCTTGAACCCTTTTCACTATGTATGATCTCTCAATGACCTCATCAGGTCCTACTGGTTAATTTTCATCTGTATTCAAATGACTCACAGATCTATATATCCAGCCCCAGTCTCTTTCCTGAGCTTCAGTCCTATATTATCAACTGTGAATTAGGATGTCCTAGAAATATCTTAAACTTAACAAGTTCAAAGCAGAGCTCTTTATCTTCCCTCCCCAAACCCACCTCTCCATACCAAGCTTCCCTATTTCTATCTGTCAAGGGCACTGCCATTATTCTAGGTTCCCAGCTTGATAACTTCAGTTTTATCCTCAACTCCCTACTCTTCCCTCATGTGACAAATCCAGTCATTTGCCAAATATTGCTGTTTTTACCTTCATGGAATCTTTCATAGCTGACTGACTCCTTCTCAATAATACTCATATTACCACAACTTCAGTTCAGGTCCTCAGCACCTTTTGCCAAGATTAGTTCAACATTTTCCCAATTGATCTCCTGGCCTCAGATCTCTCCATACTTCCATCTATTTTCCACATAACTGCTAAAGTGATTTTCCTTAAGCACAGAATTGACCGTGTCACTCCTCTACTTAATAAATCTCAGTGGTTCCCTAATGCTTCTAGGATAAAATAAAAATTCCTCTGTTTAGCTTTTAAAGCCCTTTGCAAATTAACCTCAAATCATCTTTCCAGCCTCATTGTACATTACTCCCTCTCCCATTATCAATGATGTAGCCAAAATTGTCTTTTTTCTGTTCTTCACACACTATATATAATATATAATATATAAATATATATATATATTTTTTTGGGAGGGCCTAGGCAATGGGGTTAAGTGACTTGCCCAGGGCCACACAGCTAGTAAATGTCAATTGTCTGGTCTGAGACCGAATTTGAACACAGGTCCTCCTGACTCCAGGGCCAGTGCTCTATCCAGTGCACCACCTAGCTGCCCCATTCACACAATATTCTTATCTCTAGTCTCTGTGATTTGTCCTGACTGTTCTCCATGCCTAGAATATATTCTCTCCTCACTTCTGCCTTATAGAATCCCTTTCTGTTCCTTTAAAACTTAGTTCTTAGCTCAAGTACTACTTTCTAAATAACAACAATAATAACTAGCATTTATATAGGCCTTTAAAGTTTGCTAAGCACTTTTGAAATATTATGTCATTTTATCTTCATGACAACAATGGGAGGTAGGTGCTATTATTATCCCCATTTTACAGATGAGGGAACTGTGGCAGACAAAAGTTAAGTGACTTTCCCAGGGTCACATAGCTAGTGTCTGAAGTTGGTTTTTGAACTCAGATCTTCCTGACTGGAGGTCCTATGTTCTATCTACTATGCCATCCATCTGCCTACATAAAGCCTTTCCCAATACCTGCCACCCCCAACTGTTAGTGACCTCTAGTGAGAGCTACCTAATATTTATTCCCTTTATATTCATGCTATATATATGTTATCTATTTTATATTTTATATATATACATACACACACACACACACACACACATATATATACAAACATACACATCTCACATGTCTCCCCTTCTGTAAAGTAAGCTCATTTAGAGTAGAGATTATTTCTTTCTTTGTATTCATGTACCTAGCATGGTGCCTAGCAAATAGTTGGTACTTAATAAATGTTTGTTGATTGACTGATGGCATATGTCTACTTATATCTTCCAGCAAGTGATTTGTAATCAAGTTTATGAATGTGGTCTAGATTTTAATTCATTCATTTACCCTGTTTTCTGAATGGATCTTTAATTAACCAATTTTCGGGCACTGTCAGAAACTCTTTGATATTAGAAGATAGCAAAACTTAACTGGTTCAACCTGCCAGTAGCAGTTAAATCTCCTCAAATCTACCACATTAGATTAATGATCTCTTTCCCCCCTCAAATCTTTGTGGAAAGCATTTTTTATTTCCCCAACCACCTGGAATTCCTGACAATATGAGCTGAGTTAAATATATCTCAACTAATATGTAAACTTAGAATTGATCATCTGGGTAATGACTGGGAAAGACATCTAGGCCAGAAAGATTTATTTATCCCCATCCCAATTTTTCCTTCTCAAGGTGCCTGATTTCTAAGCAGCTTGCAGTGGGAGGAATTTGGGAGAATAGAGTATCCATCTGACATAAGCATTTTTCATTTCATGAAGGTGGGCTCTAATGAAGGAAGCTGAATGTGAATGAGCAGATGATGAAATGAAAAAAGGTCAGAGAAAAGGCATAATATAGCTTGATTGCTGTTTCTTTTGGGCTTTTCATTGCAACTCCCCTCCCCCAGTTCCTTTGAGAACTATCACAGTGGCCACTCAGAGAACCAGGTGTCTGTGGTCTATTGCCATGTTTGCAAACTGCAGGCTATTGGTGACCTTCTTTTAGAACAGAGGTTCTTAACCTGGGGTCCATGAAGTTGGATGGGAAAAATAAATTTTATCTTTATTTTTTCTAACCTCTAACTGAAATTTAGCATTTCCTTCAGTTATTTCAAAACATTACTCTGAAAAGGTCTATGGACTTCAGCAGACTTCCAATGGGGTCCATGACATAAAAAAGGTTAGGAGGAGTCATTGGTTTAGAATAGATCCATATTTCACATCATCTACAAGGAGTTCAAGCAATGCTACAGACCATAGACTGAAAATTTCTTCAGCTATCACTTAAAAGATGTGAAGCTACATAGATGGTGTCCCTGATATTCTTTTTTTTTTTAAAAGAACTTAACCTCTCCCAACCTTCTTCTTTCTCTGTCTCTGTCTCTGTCTCTCTCTTTGTATCTCTCTCTCTGTCTCTCCTGATGCCTTATCCTCCCCATCCTAACCCCATCCATCTTTTCGTCTATGGAAACAGTAATCAAACAACACTTCTACCGTTTTCAGAAAGGATGTGTTAATCAGCTGCCCTACGGCATCATTCATCATCTCTGTGACTTTTCAGACCAAAATAACCTTCTCTGTCCAACATTACTCTATGTATGTTGTCTCACCTTATTAGAATGTAAACTCCTCGAGGCCAGGGACTGTCTCTTTTTCATATTTGTATCCTTAGCACTTAGCACAGTGCTTTTCATTCACTCCACTCAGTCAATCAATCAGTCCTTTCTGGAAAGGAATTAAAGCAATCAAGGCCTTCTACTGAAAGTCCTGGGCAGCTTCAGTTAGAAGGCCACGTCAATCTGAATTTAGTCAAGCCCAGGTGCATTATAGCCCCCACGCCTAGCCTGCCTTAAGAGAGAAGAGCCTTATTTTCATACTATGTAAACCACAGAAACCAGCAGAACAGCATGCCAGTAATAGCGTGCTGGGGTTAATTACTAACTCAGAAGGGAGAGTGCCAGCCACTGAATCATCAACACACCTCTTGTAACACCTGGGGTTTTCTCTGGAAGTTTTCCATTCCAAGTGTTGACAAAACCTGACCCTGGTTAATCTGGAGGATTGGATGGGATGGGAGTCAAGTATGGCTGTGGGCCAGAGGGAATGAACTCCATGGTAATCATCAGTTTTACTCTGCTCTACATATGGCAAGAAGAGTTCTCTTAGTTTCCCCTTAAGGCTGATTGAAAAGCTTCCAAACAAAAAGACTGCTGCTATAATATTAGAGTTCATGCAGTATGGTGCATTGAATCTCGGGATCTAAAATATCAGGTAATGTACAGTCACCCAGCCCTGGTCAGGATTCATGATGCTGATTGCATTCACTCTTGGTGTGGGAAGGGAGTGTTGGCTGAGGAATTGGCAGGGAGGGTTCAAAAACTCTACAAAAAGCCAAGGTCAAGAAGCTGGGAGCTGACTCAGGGGGCCAATAGGGTCAAAGTGGTATCTGAGGTAGAAATAGGATCAAACTCCAGTATGAGATGTTAAGGAGAAGTGAAGTCAGAATGAGGTTCTGGCTGTAGTAAATAAGTAGCAGCCAAGTTAACAGAACTTTGAACTAGATGATATGTTACTTTTAAATTCTCAATAGAATACATGCATATGCATTTATTTATGTTTGCTTGAGTCCAGTTTCCTCTGAAGTCTCCAGCTGGAGAGCTTTTTCCTCTATAACCATCATTGGTCTCCAATCCAAAGGTCAAGTCCACAAGGCATTGGGCAGATAACTTCATTGTGTAGCTGGGCTGAAAGACCAAGGTTCAACAATGACCATGGAGCAAAGGATAAATGGTATGTTATTAATTAAAATTAAAACTTAGAATTGCTATAGAACTCCTCAGGCTAGACATCTGCTGGAATTCTCAATTGTCCAAGAGAATGACTAGCAAGAAAGACAAAGTCCAAGCATTTTGTTTCCAGTAAGTACAGAAAATATGTATACTTTTTCAGTGACCTTCATTGAGAGTGTGACATGTGTATTCCTACAATAGTTGAGACTTTGATTCTATGCTCAAAATGCAGATGATCTCCCTCTTAGAAGAAAAAGTAAATGAGCTTAAGGAATGCCTTCCAACTCTCTTGGTTATCAGGATGAATGAACTGTTCCTTTTTAAAGTAGAAAGAAGACATTTTTATTTTTTTTGTAATTATACTTTATTTTAACATTAATTTAAAAAAATTTTGAGTTCTCAGTTCTCTCCCTCACCCATTGAGAAGGCAAGCAATATGATATCAATTATACATGAGGAGTCATGCAAAACATATTTCCATATTAACCACATTGCAAAAAAAGAATGAAAGAAAGAAAAAGAAAATTTAAGTGAAAAAACCATGCTTCGATCTGTACTCAGAATTCATCAGTTCTCTCTTTGTAGATAGCTTTTTTCTTCGTGAGTCTTTTGGAATTGCCTTGATCAGAGAAACTAAATCTTTCACAGTTGATCATCATTCCACTATTGCTGCTACTGTGTACAATGTTCTCTTGGTTTTGCTCATTTTACTTTGTATCAGTTCATATATGTCTTATCAGGTTTATTGAAACCATCATGCTCATAATTTCTTTTCTTCTTTTTTTTTTTGAGGCAATGGGGTGAAGTGACTTGCCCAGGGTCATACAGCTAGTAAGTGTCAAGTGTCTGAGGCCAGATTTGAACTCAGTCTTCCTGAATCCAGGGCCAGTGGTGTATCCACTGCGCCATCTAGCTGCTCCATGCTCATTATGTCTTTTTCTTTTTTAAGTGAGGCAATTGGGGTTAAGTGCCCAGAGTCACACACTAGTGAGTGTTATGTGTCTGAGGTAGGATTTGAACTCAGGTCTTCCTGACCCCAAGTCTTGTGCTCTATCCACTATGACACCTAGTTGCCCCTCATTATTTCTTATAGTACAATAATATTCCATCACAATCACATATCACAACTTGTTCAGCCATTCACCAATTGATCAGCATCCCCTCAATTTCCAATTCTTTGCCACCACTAAAAGAGATACTATAAATTTTTTTTTTATCACATAGGTTCATTTGATTTTTTAAAAATCTTATCTCTTTGGGGTACAGATCTAGTAGTGGTATTACTGGGTCAAAGAGTATGCACAGTTTTATAGTCCTTTAGGCATAGTTCTAAATTGTTCTCCAGAACGGTTGGAAAAGTTCACAACTCCACCAATGCATTAGCGAACGTAGTTTCACACATCTACTCCAGCATTTGTCATCTTCCATTTCTGTCATGTTAGCCAATTTGATAGGTGTGAGATGGTATCTCAGAGTTGTTTTAATATGCATTTCTCTAATTGATGGTGATTTAGATAATCTTTTCATACAACTCTTGATAGCTTTGATTTCTTCTTCTGAAAACTGTATGTTCATGTCCTTTGACTATTTATCAACTGAGGAATGGATCTTATTTTTATAAATTTGGATTGGTTTCCTAAGTATTTGAGAAATGAGGCCTTTATCAGAAAAACTTGCTTTAATTCCCCTCCCCCTCCAGTTTCCTGTTTTCCTTCTATTTTTGGTTGCATTGGTTTTGTTTGTGCAAAACTTTTTTAATTTCACGAAATAAAAATTATCCATTTTACTTCCTGTGATCTTCTCTATCTCTTGTTTGGTCATCAACTCTTCGCTTATCCATGGACCTAACAAGTGTGTTTTTCCACGCTGCCCTCTTTTGCTTATGATATTACCCTTTACGTCTAAATCATGTACCCATTTTTACCTTATCTTGGTACACAATGTGAGATGATGGTCTATGCCTAGTTTCTGCTAGACTGCTTTCCAGTTTTCCCAGCAATTTTTGTCAAACAGTAAGTTCTAAAAGCTTAGATCTTTGGGTTTTCAGACACTAGATTACTATGGTCATTTACTACCATGTATTGTATATCTAATTTATTTCACTGATCCACCACTCTACTTCTTAGCCAGTACCAGATTGTTTTGGTGATTATTGCTTTGTAATTTAGTTTGAAATCTGGTATTGCTATGGTCAACTTCCTTCACATTTTTTCATTTATTCCCTGGATATTCTTGACCTTTTGTTTCTCCAGATGAATTTTATTTTTTCTAGCTCTATAAAATAATTCTTTGTAGTTTGACTGAATAAGTAAATTAATTTAGGTGTAATTGTCATTTTTATTATATTGGCTTGGCCTACCCAGGAGCAATTGATATTTTTCCAATTGTTTCTAGTTGTCTTTATTTTGTATGAAATATGTTTTGTAATTGTGTTCATACAGTTCCTAGGTTTGTCTTTGAAGGTAGACTCCCAAGTATTTTATGTTGTCTGCAATTATTTTAAATGAAATTTCTTGGAAAAGGGGATTTCAAAGAAGGAAAAAGACCTGAAGAAGCAGATAGATCTTAGTGTGTGTCAGGAGTTTTAAGGATAGAAGTATGTCATGAAGAGAAGAAAGGGGAAAAACCCCTGCTGAGTTCTTGGAGCTAAGAAACAAATATGCTAAGTCTTTTCACAATGAGAAGGGAGTTGTATGTTAATAATTAGAACCAGACACTTGTCCTTTATGTAATGACATACTAAACCCACAGATCCTTCAGATAAGAGATCATCCCACAGAGACCAGGGGAAGAAAGAATAAAGTAGCTATGTGTCAACATGAAAATAGAGAGGTCTGCTGTCATCCTGTGGAAGGTATTTAAGCCATTACAGAAAACCTCCCAAGACTTGTCAATCTGGACATCTACTACTCATTTCTGGTGATAAATGTAGGCACAAATGATACTTCAAAAGGAATCTAGAAGTCATTGCTAAAGATTATAAAATTTTAGACAAGAATCTGAAGGCTACAGGGACACAGGTAGTATCTTCAACCCTGTTGCCAATTGTAAGTAATGGATTCAGAAGAGAGAGGCAGATTTGGGAAATGAATATTTGGTTAATAAAAAGTTGTCAGAAAGTGGCATTTAGATTTTTGGACTTCAGCTTAAAATATAGGAATGACAGGTTCTGGGATGGAGAATAGATAATAAGAGCTGGTAAAAACAATTTTTTCTCTTTTGTTGTTGAGTTGTTTTCAGTCGTATCCAACTCTTTGTGACCTCATTTGAGGTTTTCTTGGTAAAGAAACTGGAGTGATTTGCCATTTTCTCCTCTAGTTCATTTTACATATGAGTAACTAAGGCAAACAGGGTTAAATGACTTGCCCAGGGTCACACATCTAGTAAATGTCTGAGGCCAGATTTGAACTCAGGATAATGAGTCTTCCTGACTTCAAGTCCAATGCTCAAGTCCACTGTGCCATCTAGTTGTCCCCATTTTTCTCCTAGGGTCTCACAAATCTAATCAAAAGAGCTTTACATTTAAAAGGAATGGAGAAGGAAAAAAAACTGTGTATGTATGTCCACAAAGTTAGATACCTTAGAAAGTTATTATTATGTTGGGGGAATATCAACAATGATATCCAGAAGGTCATAGGAGACAGAAGTGAAAAAAGAAGTCAGTAATACAATCTATGGCTTTGGCTTCTCCATTTAAAAATGGACTATGTATAGCCAATAAGCAAGATAAAATGGAAATCCAAAGGCAAGGAGATAAATTTGTCTCTTAGAGATTGCTGAGACTTAGTGAAATGAACTCCATAATTGAGATGTGGATCTAGAAGGTGTACTTTATTAGGTGGAACAGGATAAATAAAATAAAAAAGGAATATCATTGTATATTGAGAAGGCATATTTATGTAAAGATATTTGGGAATCAGAGGTAGAACCATGGTGGAATAGATTTGGGTGAAGATCAATGGAAGAAGATAAATAAGTGATATTGTCATTGGTATATACTACACCTAGATAGAGATAGGGAATAGATGTGGAGTTGAGGAATCACATCACAGGAATGGCACAGAATCATAATATAATACTGTGGGGGAGGGTTGGGACTTAAATGATGTGCTTGACTGTTATCTCCCTGCCAAAAGCTGAGAAACTTAATACTCTCTTGATTTGCCCTAATGATAATTCTTCAAAAGGTAGGGGACTAAATAAAAGGCAAATTCTATTGTGAATCTAATTGTTATCAACAGGGAGAAACTGGTTGCTGGGGTGAAACTGATGGGAAACTTGGGAGTAAGTGAACATGACTTCTTAGAATTTTTGATAAAGGTGAGAAAACCCAGGCATAGTCTGGCATATACCCTAGATTTTTGGAAAGTCAACCAGTTTCAAAGGTCTCAGATCAAAGGAACAGCCAATTAATAAACATTTATTAAGTGCCTAGTCTATGCCAGGCACTGTGCTAAGCACTGAGGATACAAAAAGAGGCAAAATACAGACCCTTCCCTAGAAGAACTCATAGTTAAATAGGAGAAAAAAACAAGTAAATAAGTGCGTAAATGTGCAATAAATATTCACAAATGTGACAACAAATACGTATGAGCAAGCTATACATAGGAAAAATCAAAATAAGGCATTGGAATTAAGAGGGATTGGGAGAGGTTTTCTATAGAAAATGAAATTTTAGTTAGGACTTAAAGGAAGCCAGGGAAGTCAGTAGGTAGAGATGCGGAGGGGAGAGCATTCTAGGCATGGGGTACAGCTAGAGAAAATGCCAGAAGGAACAATAAGTAAGATCCCATTGAGTGAAATTCCATGGGGCATGTAAACCTAGAAGAGATAGAAAGCTCTCAAGAATGAAATTCCGAAGATACTAAGAAAATTGATTCCAAAGTGAAAGAAAAGGGAAGTTATATAAGGAGACTGAGGTGGATGCCCAGAAAACTTGTCAATCAGCTTAGATTTTTAAAAGAGATTCTAAAAAAAGATAGGAGCAAGACAGATAGTGTCAGGGTGAATGTCAAAGTGTAGAAATGATTCTGTAAAAATACAGTTGGGAGTTTTAGAGGTCGGAGTGAAATAAGCCTGGCAAGGAAAAGCTGAAGATCGCAAAAATTAATTTCTTTTATCTATTCAAGGAAGAGAAGAGGATCAAAGGAGGGATAGCATGGCTCCTTGGGGTGGACAGGTTGAGGAAAACTGACAACAGAATGGAGATAGAACTGCTCAACATTTCTCTTCTTCCTCTTTTCGGCCAAAGAGAACGATCTCTGTACGGGAAAGTGCAGAACAAAAGTTACTAATCAGGAGTTGAAACCCCAGAGAAATAGGAGAAAATATGACCCATCCTAGAAAATGAAAAGAACTGGAAGATATGCTTTCTGAAACCTTATCAGTGGCACATAATAACTCCTCTGTTCTCCATGGTCCCTAAAGGAGAGTTACTGCAGAATAAGAAAAAGGCAAATGTCCCAATGCCTCCCCCTACCCTCCTTCATCTGACATTGGCAGGTGCAGAGCTGATCATCCTTGCTACATCCTTAGTCTGATCCACATTCTAACCCCAAAGTATCTCAATGTAATGGCATGGATGGCTGAATAGCATAAGAAAATGTAGCAATCTGAAAAAATGAATTTGCCATAAAAGATGTAAATGCTGCTTTCTAGTTTGTTAAATTTTTTTTAACTGTGATTATCTCTAATGCTCAGGTCAATTATACTAATGGGAACCCAAAACTTAATATGATTTAGGAAAAGAATAAAGGAAAATGTGTAGTGGTGTATATTATCATCAGAAGAACATTGACATGTTCTGTAGACTAGCCTTATTATTTCTTCATTTGAGCACTATAGACTGATTTAATGCTAGCTTCCAGTACAGCCGTGTGGGGTAATCACGTCCGTGTGGGTAACATCAATTTTATATAATACATACCTACATATATACATATATACATATAAATGTGTGTACATTTACATAGATATAGATATCTATAGATGGCCTTTGAAATCTCTTCTAGCTCTAAATCTATGATCCTATGAAATTGGAAACCATTTTTTCAAATGTAGTAGGTTTTGTAAGCTTTCTCTCTCTGTCTGTCTCTCTCTGTCTCTGTCTCTCTGACTCTCTCTCTGACTCTCTCTCTTTGTTCTGATTCCATAGGATCTTAGATTTAGAGCTAGAAAAAATTTCAAAGGACATCTAATCCAACCTCATTTTATTGGTGAGGCAGCTGAGACTCAGGGAGGTTAAGTGACTTGTTCAGAGTCACATAAGTTTGATTCTAGAGCCAGTGATCTTTTTTATTCTTCCTCTTCCTTTTAGTTCTTTCTATTCTGTGCCTCCAATTTCACAAAATGGAAGGTTGGATCACAGTTTGAACAATGGATTTGAACAATCCTTAGAGAAAGTAGCTTTAAAAATTGTGAAATAATCAACATTTATGGAGTACCTACTGAATTCAGAAAATCTTTTATTAAGCATTGTGGGAAAGAGCCAATTATATAGAAAACCTGCCCTAAAGAAACCTACAATTTAAGTGGAAAAGCAAAAAGCAATCCAGGGATAAGGAGATGTACTCTGCAATGGTGAAACCACTTCTGGAGTATTGTGTTCAGTTCTCAGTCAACTCATAAAATGAATTTACTAGCTAGAGGTTGTCCAGCAGAAGGCAAACAGAGCAGTAAATGGTTTCAAGTTCATGCCATGTAAGGATCATTTGAAAAAACTGGGGCTATTTGGTCTGGAGATGAAAATCCGGTGTGGGGGTTGGGGAGAGGGGATCATGGCTATCTTTTTTGAAGGGCTGTCATGTGGATAGGAATTAGATTTATTTTGCTTAGCTTCAAAGGATAGAACTAGAAGCAATGGAAGGAAATTGCTGAGGGGCAAACTTAGACTTCATGTCAGGAAAATTATGACCCTGACAGACATCAACAGCAAGAACATTTCCTTATACAAAGAACTGAAAAAGATTGTATATGAAACCATGAGGCATTTTCTTAAAAAAACACCCCTATATATTAATTTTAATATGGCAGCACCAATACTACCCTGTTTAACTGTTTCTTTTTCTGAACTCTCTTCTACTCTCCTCTGTGTATTTAAAATAATTAATTCATATTCTTTTCCTTCTAATTCAGTTCCTCTGAAGCCATCTTCCCAACCATAAGCACAGTTCTCTGCCTCCTAAATGAAGTGAGTCTGCTTTGCTCTCCAAGGTGGATTTCTCAGCTGTGAGGCATAAGGCCTGAGGGCAAAGTAGTTAGTGGTATGATGGCTGGGTTAGAGCCAAAGGTATCATGTGTTTAACAGGAAACCAGAGATATGATTGCAATCTTATAGAGAAATGAAAGATTTCTGAGTGTTTAGGAAAAGGGAAAAAATTAAGAATGATGGGTGTTAGTAGTGATTTTAATTTAGAGATTAAAAATCACATCTGACTACTCTTTTTAAATCTGGATTGTGCTTCTACCTAAGAGAAAATATGATTTGAAAACTTGTCTGCTAATAAACATTATTTCAATTTGTCTCCTAGTTCTCTTATGTGTTTTGGTAGAATCTTCTCTTTGATGAATCAAGATGTCAGATATTTATTTTTTTTCTTTCTTGGATTTATTAAGTTATTTTATTCCCTGTCTTGCATTATACACAACTTTAAGTCATTTAATAGTCAAATACTTTATATTCTAGATGTTCTATAATGTTTATCAGATTATTTCCTTGAAGTCGAGAAATGTTTAATATTCAACACGTCTGATTTTTCTTTGCATTCCCTTATGTAAAGATATTTAATAATATATATTATATTAAATGGATTTCTATTACCTAAAATGGCTTACACTTATGTTATACTCTCTTTGAACTTCTTGGAAACATAATCACTTTTGAATCACAGATGTATTTCTTTTCCAATATCTTAAATCTGAAAATTCCATCTGAAAATTTCTATCCCCAATCACCCTTTCATTCCTTTTTGATATTTTGTCATATACCGACTGTATAATTCATTATCTGTGACTTGTCACATCTGATTACTTCAAATAGCATTTTCCCTTTCCTTCACCAATTGGAAATGTCTATTTTCTTCCTGAAGCCAAATCCCCCCTCCAGGGAAAGAGGGAAAAAAAGAAGAGAATTGCAAAATGAAAAGATGGTTTCTCCACTTTTTGCTTTTGCTGGAAGATACTTACATTTAATTAAGTTCATAAATTTTTGGTCTTCCTCTGAAGGACCAGGTCTAGAAGGGAACTCTAGTACAAATAAAATAACTCAGGGTGGAAGGCTTCAGTTTCTGCAAGATCATCCTAAAATATTTTCATCAGTAGGAACATGAATAAGAAAATCTACCTGCCAAACTTTTAATTTCCCTAATGGGTGTGCTTTTAGAGCTGAAGCAGTTGAAATAAGTCTTTAGGAAAACAAAAGAGGTCATGCTGATTCAACAACATGAGGCTTACAGACTCATGGATTTTAGAAATAGAACATAAAGACTGGCTTGTCCATCTGCTTCTACCCCAGGGTCGGTCAGACCTTGATCTTTTAAACGCTGAAAAATATATTCACGTGTTTAAATGAAAACGATGTTCAGAGCACAATATAGTCCCTGGAGGATTGACAAGGTTTGGGCAAGGTATACCAAATTAACTGACTTCAGCCAATCCCAGATGTTTATATGGTTGTGAGCCAAACAGGAGCCATATGTTTGGAGTTCAGATTGAGGTGATATCCATACAAAAAAAAAATCTAGATAGCGAAGAGAGCAAGATTGTCCAGACAGGTAGGGAAAATGGTCAAATGCACTTTCACCATCTTATGCTTCTATGTAGACCTGCTTCTTGACAGTTGGTCTTGGAAGGTGAATTTAGTAAGTCAAAGAACTTCCTGACATGGTTACATACTAAACTATAATATAATTCAGTAGTGGTCATCCTCGGTTCTCTAGCCATTAGGTCCAAAGATGGCCATTGGTGGAGAGATTAGCTCTTAACTGAGACGAACAAATTAGAAGCCATGTCCTAACCAATAGATGTTACCCACAAAGAACTTGCTTTCACCTCTACCTTTTATCCACCTATATAACTTCTAAACCCACTGTCATGCTGCTAGCCCAAGCTGGGATTCATTCTGCTTCCTCTCAGTCTTCTCTTCTCTTCTGTCCTCTCTGGAGCATGGAGTACCAAATTTCTCCAAGTGACTCTTGTGTTGTCATTGGTCCTCTTTGAGAACAAAGGACAACAATAACAGAGGGCAGAAACTGGACTCTTAGATCCCTCCATTTTGCATCTGCTGCCCTGCATAATTTCAACTCTAGGGAACACAATATCCCAGTGCTGGCTACCCCTTTGTGTCCTGTTCCTTCCTCCATTCCTGCCTCCTTTTGTGTGTTATACTTCCCTTTAAATTGTAAGCTCATTGAGGGTTTTCTTTTTATTAATTGTATTCCGACTGCTTAGCACTATGCCTGGCATGTTAAGTTTATTGGATAGGATTGTTGTTGGATTAGGTAAGCAGTTTTCTCTTCTGTAAGTTGTTACTGTCTAACTATTTTGGCCATGGACAATTTTGGTATGGAATACATCAGACATCCTTAGGAATAATTTTAGGGACAAAAAAGAAAATTATGCCTATTTTCAAACTGAAAAATTGTTTCATTGAATAATTATTTTGTGGCATACTTTTAATCCATGGTCCTGGGCTCATGTGGAGAAATCTGTTTCTAGAACCTAAGTTGATAAAGGCCAATTTTTCTCTGACTTTTTATCCCCGTATCCCAGGTTTTCTTTTGAACAAATCTCCCATAATAGCTTAGGTTATAGTTTGTGTCTTGATTTCCCTAAACAGATTAAAAAGGTTCTCAGCAAGCCCTCAATGTAATAAATGAGGATCAGAGAGGACAACCTTTATTTCACCCCAGAGAAAATGCAGAAAACGCAGAGGACTTGCAGAAGCTTACAGAGACAGAAACAAGGGCAACCATTCTAGCGAATTTTTCCATGGTGAATCCAGGAGACCTCTCCAGCAGCTTGCCCGTAGTTCTTCATTTGACCATTATTTACACTAGTATTGAAGGTGTAACCTACTGGAGCCAAAACCACGGAAGGGATGCTTGCTGCCAGCTCTGTGCCAAGTACAGGCTTCCTTGTGAGAGAAAGTGGAAAACAGAACTTTCTCCCCCTCCCATTCTTTGGTATAGAAAAGCTGGTGTACGTGCATGGTTCTGAGAGGACAAAAAAACAAAAAAACAAAAAACAAAACTGAATTCATTCTCTCTTACTGGAAAAGAGGGGGGCAGCTAGGTGGCACAGTGGATAAAGCATCGGCCCTGGAGGCAGGAGGACCTGAGTTCAAATGTGGCCTCAGACATTTGACACTTATTAGCTGTGTGACCCTGGGCAAGTCACTTAACCCTGATTGCCTCACCAAAAAAAAAAAAAGTGATGAAGTCTATGGTCTACTTCTCAGAATAATATTTTTAAATGCATAAAATAAAATATATAATTTGCAAAAGAAACCAAAGATTAGTAAAAATAAAGATGGTTGCTTTTTTTTTTTCATTCATGTCATGGGCCCTCTAAAATCTATCCTCTGACTCCAGTC